GAAACGCTTATAACTTTTGAACCAGTGACCGACTAATTCTGATATTTAGCGAAAATCTGGCTCTGGAGTTAGTTTAGATTTATTTGAAACATAATTTGTTCACAAAAGTAGACTAATGTGCACATAACTTACTTGTTAAATATTAAAAAGTATCAGACTGAACGTGAACTGAACTACACTCTATTGTGTCGGCACTAGATTTAAGATTTCTTAAAATGATTTTGCGGTGAAGTCCTGTCTGTCGAGTCTTGTAGTCTTTAATAAATATGAATACCAATCAAGAATTTTGTCATTTGTCAGTCGTGTCATTGGACCGGAGTATATTGACAGAAAACCGATGTTAAGCAATTCTTTCGTTATTTTTCACCAAGGGAATGAGGACATCGGTGCCCCTACCCCTCCCCCCCACGCCCAATTGCGTGGGTGAGTCATTGAAGAGCAGCAACGTACTAGTGATGAGAACTAGGGATGGAATAAAATACCAATCACATGTGATAAATAATATGATTTATAAATCGTCTAATCACACCTGCGACTGATTTACAAAACCACTGCGACTTGTATAATACTGGAGCACTCAGGGCCGTACCATCAAGTTCCAGCTAATAATGCCAAATGCATATAACGTGATCAGAAATAATACGAATTCACAACATTTATCCCACGATCAGCTATCTCGCCGCTATTGTACATACAGGATGTCAGAAATAAAACGTACAATCTCAGTCATCATTATAATTTAATGAATCTGTTATTTACAAAAGATTTCGGTGGACTTGTCAACAATAAGCATTGCATCATGTACCGTTTGCGCTTGCGAGGCGTGCGCTAGGCTTCATTTCATATATTTTTATTAATTGAAATTTAAGAAACAAAACGACTAATTTTGTCCCCTACTCAATTATTGCTGTAGTTTATTAAATAACATTGTTACATCTTTTACAATATTTTAACGACACAGTATTTAAATTTAAATCTGTTCCACGAGACACAAATTAGCATAAGAGGTTATTTGTGCTGCGACCTTTATTTGTCAACGTGTTTACAGCAATTGGAGGCACAAACCGAGACGTTTTATTTCTTTAGCCTTTTCTAACAACTGCTTATAGGAAATCTAACTAATATATTTTTTAAATACATGTATAGCATAGGTTTAAAATGTATAACGTAAGAAATGTACGCCAGCTTCCTACAAACAGTATGATTAACATATTTTGAAAACACATCGTCAGAGCTGTTTACATAGATTATGTAACATATTAAAAAAAAACCGTATACAATATATACCATTTAATAAATGAACTATTGAAAGAGATGTCATACAGGGCTTATACGTAAACAGCTCGTTAATAAACAATACTTTGAGCCAATACTGAATAATAATATATGTACATACACTTTCGCTAACATATTATACATAAACGTTCAAATATTTTCAGGATTCATTTCCATACACAAAAATTGCCTCTAAAAATAATCATGTGATTCATGATCGTTATTTCCTGGTCTTAGAAGTCAGACCAAAATGTTTCTCCGCTTGATCTTAACGACTAAAGCTCTCATACAGAGTACAGTTCTGTTACATGTTCCTCTTATAGACTCCTAAACAATTTTTAATCTTAAAAACATAATAACACTTTTGGTTTTTTACATAAAGCTATATAACAACAGTAACATCAATCCATATTTGTGAATATCCCTCAATACATCCTATACATTTGCAACTTCATATCAGATTATATTAACCTTAAAAACGAAGCTTCATTAAAATTATCATAGGCATACAGTACATGTTGTTTATTAAAGAAATATATATTTAATACATCTTTCGTATTTATCACATAATACCTTCTCATAACACCTGCTTTTGTTTCACATCTCTACTGAAAAAGTACACCTAACGCTTAAAGCTAAATTATGCAGTTTATTGACAGAAAATATCTATGACAAAAATATATATCTATAGTGGTTAAGAGGTTCAGATATATACACACTAATGTGGCAAGTACATAAAGCCTGCTTTCGACCGCACCAAACAATCAAATGTTTTGTATTGAACGGTGCACGTAAAAATTGACTGCGTTACAATTTTCACCTCTATTTAAAACTCACCTAATAATAGTATATTTACATATTAGTTGTTCATTAGACATGGCACTAAGGACAGAGTTCTATACAATATCAAGGTTAAGAGAGTTATCATCTCTCACGTTCTACTATAATGCCTACGTCAGTTATAAAAAAAAATATGCGGACTATGTTTTAAAATATTTCGCTCGTAATAATGGACTTAGAAAAAGCTAAGCTCGAAATGTTGACGTACTCTTACTAGTTAGAAACTCTACTCGAGTCGAGAAAGACACGCGCTATTAACATTTATTAATTGGATTAGTCGTATATAGATTTAGTTGTAAAATTGATTAGCCTTGCCACAAAATTCGAACATTCATTAATATTACTTTTGAATATAGATTCATGTTGTGAAGAAAGCAATTATTATTTTCTATTTGAACATTACGATAACTTTCTATGAGCAAATATGAGTTTTATAGTTTTTGAAAAACAAACAGCGGATGCTCGATGTTCGGTTACAGGCGAATACTCAAGTCTATCAGCACCTTAATAGGCTTCATATAATTTTTTCATCGGAGACTGTTGTCTATTTTATAAGTATTTATTTTATAATTTCGGGATTCAAATTTCATTTAATTCTATTCACTTATTTCATAGTTTCATATAAATGAGCTTACCATACTTGTAAAGACTATCAGTTTTCTTTGCCGACATCCTCAACACATTAAGCCGTTTTTAATCTTACGCAAAAGTACCAATAATAAATGGTCTAAGCATTCATTAACTAAAACATATTTACAACTGTGCAAATATTTACATTGTGTTAAACTTTTGAGTAATTAACGCTTGTGTATTGTGAAACAATTAGACCTGAGATGATTATTTATTGTCGATTTTGATTTTGCAATCGATCCAACTTGATATGCGGTTGTATAGAAGATGAAACATATCTACGACCCTTTGTATCGTGTAAGTACTTTACAGCCTATAAGTACCATAATTAATATATTTTTATTGACAACATGGACATTTTTTTAGTTTATTTCTCACAAACTTTGTAGCGCTTGAGTATTAGTTATATTTTTAATAACATCGATAGTATTGGCTAGCACCACGACAATTATATGGCACAGTGGAATATAGAACTTTAAACTTCCATCTTATTATGAAAATGCGAAGCGAACGTATACCTACGTTTTATTTCTTGCAGTCAATTCCAGTTTATTTCATTTACTTATGGTAACATCGTATAAATCTTCATTCCGCAGCTATTTTTTTATTTTTTCACCTCAACAAAGTCAGTTATTTTCGATAGTCATATTTCTTTAGAATTTAATAGCACTGTACAACACTATCTGAAAATAACTTATTTTGTTAAATCCCATTCTTGAGTTATCGTACAAATTACGAAAATAAATTAATATCTAAGTGGATTTCATGAAACCTTTATCACAGCATCCCCAATGTGATGAGATCGTATTATTTAATAAATCATTGAGGCATAAAAGAGTTCGTGAAATCTAATTGTATATCAAATTATCTATTATTGTTAGTTACAGTGTTCGGAGGTATAATGTATCGGCTAACAGACTGGTGCAAAATAACCGGCACATAATTCTCACACTTTTGAATACAGTGAGAAGAATTCAAATGTTTTAAATGGGCAGATTGTTTTACTATAATGTTAAAATGAATTAAATTAATTAACTTATCATCGATGTTTGGGACTTGGAATTATCATAAACAGTCTGGGGAAGATGTTACTAACATTAAAAATTGTGTTGGCCATATTCCCTTTAAAAATTTACGCTTCATTAGAAAAAAATTGTATGTTAAGGAAAAAACAGTAAAATACATTTGAGTATGTTTCAAATACATGAACGAATTTTGTGTTTTTTATGTTTGCGTTTATGAGGTTTAATTATTGAGATAGAAATCTTTTTTAGGCCAATTGAGCACGTGGCCAAAAAACATCCAAAACATCACTAATTATTTATAAACAAGTAACATGGTTGAACTTAAATAAAGACACACAAACAAAGCAAGACACCAAATGTTTGTGCAAATATTTAATTTTATTTTGACCAGTCAAAATCAATTTCAAATGCACATAAAACGGAGATAAAATTGACTTGGTCAGATAATCCAAATATTAACGACAATGCATTACACAAACTGTCAGTATTCGAAGAGAGTAGGTGATTCATTTTCATGTTAGATATTTCTTGAAAATTTTGTATTTTTAATGAGTCGTTTAGTAATTCAATTAGCCGATATACCTTCACAAACATGGCTGTAAAATATACATTACCTATCAATCTACAAGAAAAGAGCTGGGAGTAATCACATAGATGCCTACATAATAATTATGTATTATTGCGTTTATATGATGACGATTATTGCTAAGACCCCTGATCCACAGTAATTTTCTGATAAACACTAAACTGACTATTGTAGGTAGCTTCAATAAAAGTTAACACCAATAATCAATTTCAAAATTTAAAAAAAAAACACCATAATGACAAAACTCTTTATTACACAGACATTACAGTAGGGTTGCCAACCAAAATCGGATGTCATTGGTGAAAATGTTTTTACTTTTTTTTAAATAAAGTGCCAACAATAGATTTCTCTTGTCTTCTACTGTAAATGTACAAGTTTAAAATAAATTAAAATAAGGGGGAAGGGTTTTATTTTTTTAATAAATAAATATAAATAAAAACCTACTAAATAAATAAGAAGCACTTTTTTGGTTACAATATTCTCTTTCGCTTCTTCTTTCATATTATAAAAATGCGTTCTGGCAACACTGCGCTGAATGATAAAATGTTCAGCTACTTTTGTTCCTAGGTAAGATAAATAATACTTAGTTCCCTAATTCTTGTAGATTGATAGTATCTATATATAATATTAGTAATTTACTTTATTTACAGGACACTCTCTCTCTGTGGTTCCTGAGCGTCGTGACTGTTGGGCGAGGGGGGTTCGGAGGGGGAGGCTGCGGTACGAGTGATGGCGGGTGGTCTGTTGGCCAGCGCGCCCATGGTGATGGGAGTATCGTCAGGATCCTCTTCGTCACCTTCTTCAAGGTCTTCGTCTATGGGGGTCAGGATATCTGTGTTAGGTACCACTTCCTCCTGTTTCCTGTGAAATCAGATTTAGGTGTCGTACAGGGCTTTTTAGCTTTATAGATTTTAAAATTATAACTAGCGTTTGCCATGGCTTCGCATAGGAAATGTAGAATTAATCAATCGATTTATTTATTCCTCGAGAACAATTTTTTTTCTAGATGAAGGTTACTTATCGTGAGGCGTAAATTTCATGATGATCTTTTCACTTTAAAACATTGTTATAATAGTTTATGTTATAAGCTTCGATCATAAATATATCATATATGATGGGCATTTAAACTGTTTAAATTATAGTTTAAATAGATTTGTAAGCATAGTTGTGCTTAATTAATTTAACTGGTATAGTTATGGTATTAGGACGAGGAGTTGAAATTATACTTTGAAAACGCAAGCGTGGTATGAAATGTTGTATATTCCACAAGTATCAATTTAATGGTAACTGTAAAAAGTGATAATTCAAATAGTTTATTTTTAAAACACGTAGCTTCGGTACTCGTCTCTTTGACCGTAGGAGAAATCAGGCCTCACAGAAAATCGGCGTTAAGCACTTTTTATCGTTGCTTTAACAGGTGACTCGTCCGCCCGTTTGCTCTTTATCTATGCTATAAAAGACATACTGCGTCGTGGGTGGTAAGCAATAAACTACAAACGTTACACATGGTTAGGTGTGCAAGAACGAGTAGTACCTGCGGAACCAAGGCGCGGCGAAGGAGGTGAGCGTGCTGGCGAGGAAGAAGGCGGCGGCCATGTAGAAGGACGCGTCGTAGTTCTTGGTGGCGTCGTACACCGCGCCCGCCAGCGGCGACCCCACCATGGCCGCGGCGCCGCGGAACAGGATGAGCAGACCGAACGCGTTCGTCAGCTTGTCCAGCCCCAGCAGGTCCACCAGGATGATCGACGTCAGCGAGATGTAGCCCGCTAAGGAACGCCTCACGAGTTACTCACTTGCACTTTTAATGTAAAACGTCTAATGCTGCGTCTCTCGACGTGGCGACGCGTCGCCACAAGATGTGATGGAATGCAGTGTAGCAACGCGTCGCCATGTGCAAGGATCTGTGCTTATCTCTCACGCTGATAATTCTCAAAATTATTTTCTCAAAATCATGTTAATGTGTAACATCTGCAAGACATTCGGCGACTACTAAATTTCTTTTTATGCAATATGATATGTAAATTAAGTATTTCTTTCAAAAGCAGAAAAAATTAAAAGCATATTTTACACAGGTAATATAACCTGTGTAAAATCTGCTTTTAATTTTTTCTGATTTTTTTTTCTTAGTTTTAATGCTTTTAACTGACTAACCTAATAACTAATATTATTTTGATGCCCAATTAGTGTTCCTGTTCACAGTTGTTAAACAACACTTTTGCTTTCAGAATTTTAGTTTTACATTTTCGTAATATTTAAGAGATGATACTTACAAATTGCGATTCCAAAAGCAACAGCAATCGCTACATATGAGCCATAAGAATAGGCGAATGGCGTCAGTCCAACGGAAATCTGCAATATATTTAACATATGGTTAAAAATAAGTCTTTATTGAAGTTAATTCACAAGTAATATTAGAAAAAACTCTTTATGTATCGTTTTGGACTTTATTATTATGAACATATTTTAAGTTTAGGTTTAACTTTTACTTGAATAAAAGTACGATTGCATAACTTAACAGCGAAAATCTGTTACGATATTTAGAATCTAAGTTTCCGGAATGCATCCGTAATATTTGAATGACTGAGCCAACAGTCAGCCCTATTATATATAGTTTTAACGAACGCCCACCGCGGTACAGATATAGATAGCGCCATAAAAACACCTACTTGTAAAATAGTTTATTCTAGAGTTAAGTTTTATAAATGCAAGTGCGTACTTATTGAGTAGTACTTACTTTTATAATAAAATAATATTTATATTAAAGAAATTTATTGAAAAGAAACTTACCGTAGCAATAATAAGGCAAACATTATTTAGCAAGAGCGAATCCATCCAAGGGAAGTCTGCGACCCAACCGCAGGCGATACGCCCGAACGTGTTCGTTATACCGATTATTGACAGCAGGAAAGATGCTTGGGACGGATCCACACCCTGAAAGATAGTTATATATGAATAAAATGATGACGATGAAGATCTATTTTGTATAATAAATTAAGTAGTGTTTTGTGTAATGTTTTATTTTATATTACAAGGTGAAAGGAGGGCCTTTTCAATCACAATTTTTATTACCCGTGGAAAATAGAGGTGCCACCCTCAGTATAGACACAACTATCTCATAGTAGTACTATCTCGTTATAGTAACAGAGCGTCTCATTTGATCGATTGGTAAAATACATGTTGTACCCTCTAGTAAATCTTCTGGCTTACAAAAAGTAATAAAATTTAACGTAAGTTGGTTTATACTTTCTTAGTTTGAGTTAGTATGACCCAAAGCTACCAGCTCCTTTATATGGTTCCGTTCCTTAAAAGAAAAAGAACCCTTTATAGGGTCAAAGAGAAAAATATATTTTGTTGCTGACAACAGAAGTAAAAAAATGTAAAATATGTAATGTGCTTAAGCTTAAATTTAATGTAACAAACTTTTTTTAAGACTTTTGAAGTGACGTAAGTGTCTTCAGAGCTTGAACTGTAAACCTGTTTTAAAAAATAACCTACACCCATCGATACATAAATACCGCATTCTTTTTGCCATCATGGATTAGTATAACAATCTGAAATTCCGAATCGCAGTTTATGACAAAAAGGACATACACTAAGTGTGGCAGCATCGACAATGTAGACGAAGGGCACGTAGAGCCCCGCCATGCCGAACACGTTGGACACGCCGATGAGCATGAAGGCGGGGTCGCGCAGCAGGCTCACGTCCAACATCGACGCTAGCGCCGATTTGAACGAACTCGGGAGACCGAGGCATGGACATAGGTCATATTCTGAAAGAAAAAAAAATACACTCATATTATTTCGCTTCGTAATGTTTAACTTTTAAAATAAACAGTCATTAAATTTACTTAAACTTTATTAAATCCTTAAGTGGCATTAAAATGCTTTTCAATTGTAGACTTTAAATTACAAAATACCTCATGTTGCCATATCATTTGTTCTTAAATTATTGCAATTCTGTATAATCTAAAATGAGTTACTATCCTTATGATTGATGAAGATACAACAATAAATCCAACATCAATGTTTTTTATTAAGTTTAAGAGGCAAGGTAATAGTGTCATCTCACATATAGTTTTTTATCATCATATTTGTAAAGCCCAGTTAGCTTGTACACTGTAGGATAGTAGTTGAGTAGTTAGTTAAGCTAGAAGTTTATTGAGTACGCAGAAAAGACAGCCAAACGTAATAAGTATATTTAAGTAAAGTTATACAAAAATGTATAGAGTAGCGAATCTTTCCTTGATTATGCTTTGCAAGTCTAAGTCAATAAATACATTAATTGAATACTTTATGATTTAGTACGCTACTAACTTATAAAGTATTCAATTAATGTATTTATAAAAATTACACCGCGCTGCCAAAAGTAGGCCGCAGCGCAGCGTGTGCACAAAATTATCTATATGTAAAAACTATTTGTATGTACAATAGTGAGATCGTACAATACTTTTTTTTATAATTGAACAAACAACGCCATCTAGTTTCAAACTAAGCAAGGCTTCTATGAAAGCTAGATTGACTGATAGAATACTTATATACTTTTTTGTTGTAAATACATACATATTATACATAGAAAACACCCAAATTTCGAAACAAATATTTACAGATCATACAAACATTCAGTCGGACCCGGGAATCGAACTCGGGGCCTCAGCACAGCAGTCGCATGCGCTACCACTGCATCATAAACGCAGATTCAGGTAGGCATATTCATACCAGAATGTTTTTTTATTAAAATATTAAGAAAATATTAGATAATATTTATATGTATAATTATTAAATAGAAACACTTATCAAAGCATCATATATTTTTTCAATGTTTAGAGTTTTATTAGAATTTCGAAACAAACTTCTACTTGCTAGTGTTGTTTAGAAGATGCTAAAAGGACACATGCACACTTACGTTCTTGTCTCTCCAAGTCCCCAGTTTGCCTGCTTTGCGGCAAACTCAACACTGAGTTTCTGTATCCTTGCAAAGATTTCTGACTCTGGTACTGAGGCAGATTAAGTACAGATCCTGAGTAGAAGATGTCTTTACGCGACATGGGACGAACCATTCGCGAGGGTTCCTTAGGGCCGGCAACGGACAACTTGGAGTTGTACATCATACTTTCTGCGTCACCCTGTAATAATAAAATAAGACATTCAGTTAGTTTCATATATTTACATATTTGGTATTATGAAAACTTCCACATACAGAGAAACAAAAACATACTACAGCGCCATTTACCGAAGAACCATCGAACTACGGTGTAACTGCTAATCATGTATCGCGATATTAACAATTCTCACGCCGATTAGCATTTATACAAATTCCCAATATCAACCGTTAGGCCGCGGTCCGGCAGGCATGATCACCTCGTCTGGTCGTAGGATCCTCCCTTTACTTTCACTAAGACAGATTGTCGATGATTATCGGCCTGACTTCAATTACAACCAAAAGGTAAATTGTAGTGATGATAGAAAAACGTTAAGACATCATGATATTTTGATTAGGTTGATGTTAAAGAAATGTGTTATCAGATTTAAAAAAAAAACGATGCCTAGTTCTAGTATAGCACGTATAGTGACAAGGTATACCACCTAATTTAAATTATATTATATTTAGTATTCGCTTTCCTTTCTTTCTTTTGGAATAATATCTGTGTGAGTCACTCGCAGTCCGGAATGTAGGTCTTGTTTGTCAATTAAATATATGCATGTAGGAAAATAAGTATTTTAAGTATCATATGGCAAAACTAGTATTTTCCTCTGAGTTATAAATGTATACAACATGTTTGTACAATAAGTACGAATGTAAAAAAAAAACAAGCGCCATAAAATGAGTTTTTAAAAATGCATTGTTTTCATAGCTATATAGAACAAGAGGCAATAAATTAACAGTTGCTTTGTTACCAAGTTTGTTTACGAGTTATTGTGCAAATCCATTACTACAATACTATCTTCCGATAAGGACTTTCATTGTTATATGTCTAAACCTTTATTTTTCTTTTTCTTTTTTTTTTTTTTCCGTGCGGAAATCCCCTCGGATACCACCTGTCGGTGGCATGTCGGACTCGAACCGACTAAAACCGCACGCCTTCGCCGGGTACTAATAGCCGGGGAACCAGGTATACCCTAGAAAGGAAGGCCCTGGTGCCCCGTATATGTCTAAACCTGTCGCCTAGTCCTGCTCTGGCGTATTGTTCAGTTATGTTACAATAAAGTTTTTTTTCAAAGTTACTGGTTTAGTTGTAGATTTTTATTGTTTTAATTAATAATATGACTTTATGATGGACTATTAACATATTGAAATAGATAGATTCAGTAGGCACATTATCAGATTATTGGCGTAATTTGTACACATACCTAAGTATTGAAAAAAAAAGCAAAGAATTAAGTCTCGCCTCTTTTTATCCCTCAGAACTTCAACAAGGCAGCAATGTAAATGTTTGTTTTGTTTATATGAATACATAAAACCATTACTAATAAATACTTTTAATTTTAAGTTTATATGGAAGAAAAGTATATGAAACTGAATAAAAAAAGATAACATATTATACATATTGTAAGGTTAAACATTATGTGGAACCGTCTATTCAAATATATAATCATCCAGTATATATGTTGTATTATAATAGTATGGAAGTCTGTACAAATTCAGGTCAATGCTGTTAAATAAAACATTAAAAACTTAATAATGAACTATGGTCGGAATTTGAGGTAGTATTATAACTATTATACTACTACTAGTACTATTATAACTTTTTTTCTTAAATATTACGAATATGATCATTGGTACAAACTGTAAATGCAATACAAATAGGTAAGAAATTATAGTAAGTTGTTGAGCTATAAATGAAACATTAATGATGGATAATGTTATTTTTGCATCAGCAGCCAACAATAAGAGACAACTGACTCATAAATTTAAATATAATGTGTTTATTAAAGGCAAAGCTTTTGGTGCCATCGTGCCACTGTTCAATATATTTGACTGTATATGTGTGTCGAACTGTAGGTTTCTGACTGCACTTAAAATATGTGTTTGTCTTTGTTAAGTGTTTTGAAAAAGCAGTTATAAAGTAAAGTATATTTTCTACATAATGGTTTATTTTATAACTAAAGGAGATGTTTATCTCAGTATCGATAATGAATGGGCATTTGTTTAAAAAATCCATCCATTATTGATTATACTGTAAAAGCACCAAATTATTTAATTCGAAACTAAACAATAATTATATTTAACTTCCTACGGGACGGATAACTGTTTCTATTCGCCGTGTGTCGAATTTTCTTTACAATATTTTATATTGTACAGGAAATTCGACAGTTAATATTTATAAATTATATAAAGGCGTGACAATATTTCCAACACGCAGTCAGAAATTTTGTCACGCCTTACTTGCTAAAAAATGATTGACAACGCTTTAGGTCCTTGTTGAAAGTGGAATTAGGAAGTTACTTAAACTCCTTGAGTCAGCCCAAAAAAAAGCGACGGAGTAGAGGGAGCAACAATTGCGGCATTGAGGGTATCACGAGCCACTCCACTTGACGACCGAGCGGCGGGCAGTATACTAGCGTTCTTACGATGTCGTTGAGATAATCTTTTGATATTATATGTACATACATCATTGGAATAAGTTATTTTAAAATACAGTTCACTTTTATCAGCAACTCCTCTGCAATACCCGAAGCTCAAATATTGGTCCTTCGAGAGGGATCGCTCCCCGAAAACAAGCTGACGGTAATAGTAAATGACAACCGCCACCCATGGACACCTGCAACTCAAGAGTTACAAGTGCATTTCAGTCCCTCCTCCCAAAATCAGGGGAGGTGGAGGGTTTGGGATCAGGGAACAACCTCACTCACCGCCGTGGAAAGCAACGAAAAAACTGCTTAAACCTGTTTTCTGTAAGGCCGTGGCATCATTCCGTTCGAGTCAGGCCCATATGAGCCGAAGCATGGCTCTTGAACGATAAGCACGGCTCTCTCATGATAGATTTTACTTCACATTTCATTGTGAATAATTCATATTATTATTATTTTTAATAAAGAGTGGGTAGAAATGTATGACACAGGCGCATATGTTTATCTTTCTAATAAGTACTATATCATCATCTACATCATCATGATCAGTCTTTAATAATTTTGACCGCAGAGATGACGTAGTGGTTTAAGCGATCACCTCGCCGCTTCCTACTGCGCTTTGACGACACTTTAAGTGATCCACAAATTGTTGTTCTGAGTCTGGGTGTTCTTTGTCTCCGTTTCATGTATATATGTGAAGTCCCCCGCAACACGGGATAGTTACATTCCTAGTGCGGCAGTTGTATAAAAGAATAAAATAAAATAGTCTACGTCTGGACATGGGCATCTCCTTGGAAAGGAGGTTTGGCCTAATGTGTAGCTAACTACGAGTATGTAATGAGGAAAAATCATCGGGTACAATTTTAAAAAGAGAAAAACATATTGCCACTTTGTCACTTGATCCGAGAATACGTATGTATGCATAATTATACTGTTGACAAGTTTAGGAAATATTAGCAATATGTTTAAACTAGAATGTGTAACAATACATGTTGGATGCACGCCAGTCATTCGTAACGTTTGGCAGGGTATGTGACAGGAGTTCAAGGTGACACGTCTAACTTTTGTGCGACACGGATGTTCACATATTAATGCCCTTGGTGACAATTTATTTATTGTCAAATAAAAATTGGGTCAATTGGTTTGAACTAAGGACAATTTCAACACTGTCATTTAGATGAGTTTGTTTGCATTAGTTAAAGCTATTTAGTGTACAAACGGGCAGAAATGGAAAATTTTAGCCCATTACATATATACTAAGCATACATTATGGATTATTACAGGATGTCGCTTTGATGGCGTAGTGTCACTTATAATAATTTATATGTTTTTTTGTTTTTTTTTTATTGTTTTTATTAAGTAAACATTTTTGAAGTTTTTGGTCAATATCCTTTTTGGAATGGTTTTTCGGACTGGAAAATCATAATTGGACAACATTGTTGTAAATAGAAAGTTTTGCTATGTATGTGGGTGTATATGTGTTTGCTTAGTGCGAGCAAAATATTACTATGAATATTTTATTCATTAGGTTATTACGGGTGATTGTTTTCTTCGTAATTTTTAACCTCCCTTCGTGAATCGATGAACCGCTCGACGCTGTTCCTTTGTTATAGCGTATCGATAAGTTATCGATATTCAACATCTGGCTTATTAGTGCATCTGCATAATGTGATTCATTTTAGCGTAATAAGGTATTTTAGGATGTTCTTACTTTAACTTTTTTATTTGTACCCGGTTACGCCCAAAAGCTATGTTTTTCGAGTTCGTTCGTCCTTATGGATATGTTTCTTTGACACACTTATTAACTTAAACGGATTTTGGCTTAATAGGTAACGTTAGATTCGTTTTTATTGTGAATGTGACACGGTATATCAAAATTATAAATATTAAAAGAGCCAGTTTTTCGAGCCATGAGTCCAAACTTGTCTTCTTCAAAACATATCGAGTCCCGGGTATCAAAATTAAGAGTGTCATAAATGTCGTTTTTTTTTCAATAACTGACTTGTGCAGTCGAGTTTATACTTTATATAGTCAATTGATATGAAACTAAATTACCTCGGCGTTGCGATATTGACTGCTCATGGAGGTTTTGGACGTGGCTTTGATAGCAGCTAAGGACGGTTTGAATCTGTAAACGACAAAAGACATGATGACATTAATATTACAACTTTATACTAAAATAACTAAGAAATAAAATACTATGGTGGTGTATGTATGGCTATAACATTTTATTAATAAAGTTTTATAGCAACGAGTGGCGAATTTTTTCGCTGACATAACATTCTTCTTTCTCTCTTTCCATGTTGAACAAGTTGTCCTAAACGGTACATTTTAGGACAACAGTTTCCCAATAGGGAATTGCAATAATTTTATTAAATGCGTTACTGAAATTTATAGATTCATGGAAAAGCAAAAGATGATGAGTATTGGTCTCTTAGGATGATGATTCGTCAATCAAAAGTCAAAATTTCGATTCCCAACTGTGGTCTTATACTCGAACCTTTGACATTTTACAATAAATGGGGAATACTTTATATTTGAAAATTATTAAAACTTGCTTGAACGATGATGGTTATTTGCTTTTATGTACAACAGTTCTGTAAAAAATAACTAACAGCGAAAGTAGGTAAATAATTGTGTTCAAAATCAAAATGTTAATTACGTAGCACATCGATTGTATGCGTTGATTAATCAAACATCGCACCTGTGTGATATGGTAAACACTTCATCGCCCTTTGTTTGCTGCTTCATGAAAGACATTGTCATTATTGCGTTATAGGTTTTTTGCTATTTGAATACGATAAATATAAAATAAATAAATTAAAAACTAAAAAACGTGAAAGTGTGTATCTTCCGGTCGTAAAAAAGTTCATCTATCTTTAAGAAAAAATAACATGAATATATAATTACAAATATAAGGTTGATTAAGTACAACAACATAAGTGATAAAGACGTCTACATATTTTTGTACCACAAACAAAGATAAAGTTAAATTAAAGTGCAAACAAAGATAAGTTAAATTAGCCATAATTAGTTATATGTTTTGACTGAAGCCTTAAACTTAAAGTAACATTTATTTGACAACAAATGTAGCATTAGCTAATATTATTTTTTGCGTTTAAAGTTCTTTTTGGGAAAATTGCAAAAATTGCCTTAAAATATATGTTATTGAAATCTTTTAGTGTTGTTTTATTCACTATTTTAGAAAAAATACAATAACACTACCGTTAACCAGCGCAGGGCACGACGTTTTCTTTCACCTTTGAAGCAAGTGATATATAATTTGTAATGCACATAAACTTTGCATAAGGGAAAGTCTTTAATTTGTGGTTGATAAAAAGCAAATCTGGCTGCTAGTACATTTTCAATCGAACACACTCTACAATGTTATGTTGTTGGCAACTCTCGTAAAGTTGCAGTTAAAATACTACAAAGCAAAATCTAAAAAAAAAATAGAGCAAGAAAGTTACATGGTCTCCCGAAAGAAGAATTTGATACATATAGAATAGGATAAGATTTATTGCTTTTAGTCTAACAGCAAATTGTAGAAATATACAGAAAACTATAACACCGAAAGCAAAAGATTTAAGCATCACCTAGAGATTATAAAGGTTATATGGTTTACAGCTTAAATCATATCACGTTAAGCATGTAAAAACCAACTAGAAATAAAAAAGTGCAAACAGCAAATTTTTATAGCTACGCCGTTGTACCTCTGCTTCACCACTGCTCCATCACCATCACCTATAAATAAATCTAATCTACTACCTATCACCGGACCTGTCGCCAGTGCTCTGCTTGCGCTGGCGGTCGAAGAACGGAACGGAACCGTTCTTAGGCAGACCCGGCGCATGCGCACTGAAGGCTGGGGATGACACGTTTCGAGACATCTGTTGTGGGTTGACGGTAATGTTGCCATTTTCGCCCTGAGGGTACAATGAAAAGTCAGATGATTAATCAATTGTCTGTAGAAGGTAAGGCCCTACATTTATGTATAGATAATAAGCTATAAAACAAATTAACCTTAAAAATATGTATATAGACTAAAGATATTTTGCTTATATAAGTTTTACGTTTACACTTTATATTTTCCGTTTTAATACTTTAGATTTAGAGATGTGACGTCACGAAAGTTATGTCACTCTTTGTGGACCCTTCTTCCCTCCTGAATGAGAGGTAATTCACAGATGCCTGTTGTAAGTGTACGGGTGGATAAGTTTTATTTTATATATATTAATAAAAATAATAACTTTGTATATCCCACACACGGCAGTCCCAGATACCAAAACTAGGTAGAGCCTTTACTATGGTAACCAAACCGCTGATAAACATACTTATATATTACTGAATACATACATATTATAGATAAATTACACCTAGACACAGAACACATGATCGTGTTCATCACACAATTATTTGTCCTGGAATCGAACCCACGAGTCATAGCAGGCAAGTTCATAACCACTAGACTAACAGGCTCGTCAAGAGAAACCCACTTGTATTTGTTTATATAAATTTATGTGTTATAATTTTAGAGATAACAACTTGTTAAGTTTTGCAGTTCTATAGAAGTCATTCCACTTTGTGTGACTCGTCGAATAAATTAGAACTTCGAACTGAAGTAATCTTTGCACTATATATTCATGACGATAGCGTAGTCACGTGTAGCAACGCGAGAATATTATGATTATAAAACAACAAACATGCGTTTAATAAATTTATACCTAATCATTTTGACTTGTTTGATAACCGAGATTGACACGTTAGTTATATTATATATCATTATAATCTATATATAATATAATAGCTTTTGCCCGCGGCTCTGCCCTGTCTGCGTATATGTCCAAATCGGTTCTGCGGTTTAATAACAAACAGACAGACACATTTTTGCATTTATAATATTAGTTTGGATTAATATAGATATAGTTTGTTTACTAACACTGCGATTTATTACACGATGAAGACCCACTTGGACTCAGAGAGTTTTTTTTATGTAATAGAGCCAACTAGAAGACCTGTCACCTGATGGTTAGTGGCTACTGTCGCCTCTGCAACTCAGTAGGCATAAGTGCTCAGGTCACCTGATGGTTACTGGCTACTGTCGCCCCTGCAACTCAGTAGGCACAAGTGTTTCGGTAACCGTACGTAAAAAGCAACGACAGTATTGCTGCTTCACACTCATAGAAATCGGAAGTCGCATAGACGCTTGACCTTGGTCTCAATTCTACTATTTTAATAGTGTATCAATAGACTGTTGATAGAATGTCGTCGTAATAGTTTTGCACTTTTTCTATTCTACTAACTATGTGAGACCAATTATGGCCTCCCGATGACTTGTCACTGATATAAATGTCGTCGATGTCTTTGTGACAGTTTTGTAATTTTCCAGGTATGGCAATGTTGTTGACATCACCATTGATGACATATATTACTATTTCGACAGTCTATTGACACTGTGAATTTATGTTAGTAGAATACTGATAATTTGACCGATGTCAATGGCGTCTCAATGGAATGACATTGGCTTAGCGTTAACATAAAATAGCAGAATTGAGGCGCAATGATGTGTAGACGAACACCACTTACAGAAATTTACACCATTCGTGATTTAGTTGCGCGGAGCGTCGTATGTGAATTTATGTTGTTAAAATTGTGAACTGGAGCATATATGTTCATATATGCTCCATGTCTCGTCCTTAATTTATCTATAGCCCTCTCGATCACCAGTATTCCATCTGGTTCTCTCATATCCTCGGAGGAGAAGTAGCAGAAAGTGCCGTTACCAGGCCAATCTGGAATAGGTTGTGGCTCAAAAGTGGCCACATACTCTTTAGCAAGCCGTGCCATACTGGAGCATAATGGGTTGTAAAAACGCATCAGGGACGTGTAATTCGTGTGTGTCTTATTAAGACGATTTCTGTGTTAACACCGGTGTCCTGTAAGGCCGTGGTATCACTTTGGTCGAGCCACACAGTAAAGTAAAGTGGTATGTCCACACAGCAAACGAAATACCTGGCTAGGTTTACATGTGTGTTTCCGGCAAGTATTTTATTTTTTATTTTTAGCTTATTAGAGTGATTTACAATTCACACACATGTGTGTGAATTGTAAATCACTCGTTTTTTTGTAAATCACAAATTACTATTGTTTCAAAACTATCCTGCTATATTAGTTTCAATTGCCTAAACGAAATACTTGGTCAGTAGTACGAAGTAGCTTTGACTTTAATATTCTGTTATATGAAAGTTAAAGCTACTTCGTACTGTTGACTAGGCATTTCGTTTGCCGGATGTATACAAATTAAAGTTGAAAATATGTTTTTGTATCTAGTAATGAACACAGTTCACTGTTAACTTAACAAAAATAATAGAAAAAAATTATGTGGGAGTACTATACCTTTTTCTTCTCCTGTTTGTCATCAACAACTTTGGCTTCAGTGATTGTGGGTAGTGTGGGGACGGTTGGCACACCGGGCATATTGGGCACTGTCGGTACGCGCGCTAACGCTTCTAAGTTAAGTGATGAGTGAACTCCAGGGTCGATGTTTAATGGCGCCTGACAACATGATTACTATTTTATTAAATAAAATATTTTTTTATTACTTGAGTATTGTCATGTAAGCAGCATTGAGAAAGAAATGGCGTAAGAAACCTCTAAGGATAAGAAAAGAAATGCATATATCTAGAAATTGAGAACCAGAAAGCGATAGATCGTCATTGAAAAGATTACACTTAATTTAAAAGTATTTCAAAGTGACTTCACTTTGAAATATAGACAATACCAAAAACGATTATTAGTTTTATTAAATTGTTCACAGTTACCGACATGCCAAGAGTAGAGTAACTTTGAACATCTTTTTAAAGTGAACATATGATACAATACTATACGATTTGAAATATATATATATATATCTGCGATGCTAGAATTAAAAAAAAAACAAGAAATAATTTTCTGAAAAGTGGATGTTCAGAAGATGACAGCGTGACTCGATGATGTTAAAATAATTTCTTGTAAATCAAACAACTATGAATTCCCTTTACTTTTGCTTCAATGGTAATGTTTCAATACTTAGAAATCGTAGAATATTCTTATATAAGTACTTAGCTAAAAGTAGTTCCTTTAATTTTAAATTAATCAAATTACGCGACAAATTTTGCTATAGAAAAAATAAGTCGCGAGTATTTATTTACGCCATTTCTTTATATCATTGTTAGTAATTCCCTGAAGAGGTTTCAAACAAGGTTAGTAATAGTATGTGGATAGGCAATACTACATCTAAATTCATGCAAACTATACTACACTAAAGGCTCTACGACAGCATATTTTTTCCTCCAACACCCTTCGAACTAATAGCTTTTTTTAAATATGGAATATTAAGAATTTTCTTTAAAATAAATTGAAATTTAATTCAGAATGCAACATTGAGTTTAATGAAGTCACTTTTATTCAACTTCTACTGTACGTATTTGTACTGTGTGTACTACAGTAAACATTTGTGACAGGCATTTTGTATACCACGTGTTCAAAGAGTCGAAGGAACATTTCATAGAAAACAAAATCGATAACTGTACATGTGATAATAGTAGGGTAAAAGCAGGAGGGGAAGAAAGCTTGCCAATCAAAGGCATTGCCCTCAATGACTCATATAAATGCGGCAACATATATTTACGTTTAAACAAGCCAGAAGGTTTATTTTAAGCCATTTAGTGTTATTTTAGGTTACTGAAGTAATAATATTAAGGAGCGTTCCAAAGCATAAGTAAAGTTGATAGTATGTCAACCAAGGTATGAGATAGATTATATATACAGAAGTAGATAGCATAGGTCAGTGATCAAAAAAGAGTTAGAAGTAACCCAAAGTATTTAAAACAACATTGTATAATTAGTCTAAAGCTATTTGTCCAACCACTATTGTTACACCATAATACCTGCTTTTTGTTCAAATGAGTCAAACAAAACTTGAGTGGAATGTAAGAATTATGACATTTGTACATTTCCATTACCTAACTAAATAAAAGGGATGATCCGTAGGTATACCAATAATAATCTATTGATTTCTTAGAAGATAGTACCTTTAAAACAGTTTATTCTAAAATCATGAGTTTTTGAGAAGATAACACGAAAACTTTAAAAAATGTCTACATAGGACATATTGTGAATTAACGGAAATATCAGGGGATATTGCTCCTTTATATTCTAAAGTTTAAGGTGGTTACAAGGAGCTTTACTTTGGTAGAAAATCGAGGGAAATATATTTATGCCTTTTTTTTTAAATAATAATAAAAGAAAGTCATCCTATTAGGCATTAATATCGCAACATCCAACATTAAAAAAAAGCAAAGCATTTGCATATGAAAAAGTAGCCGCACTATGGGCACCGATGACTAAAGACAGCGTCGAGTCGACATTTCCAGGAGCTGAGCCCAAATATTTTTTATCACCGAATTTATCATTTTAATCCCTAGACGAAACAACAATAATGCAAGCTTATAAGCAAGGTTTCCCTATAATACCAAAGAATTTCAAAGACTCAAGCTCCGTGTTAAGTACGCAATGTTGTTTACATCATGCTAGTTCATTTCCTAAAGGTCCCTCCTTCAGGAAATGAAACAAATCAATCAATATAACCAGCACCTATTATTTATGCTAATGTAAATATTGTAGGTTAAATTAAAGAATAGAGGCACGGTAAACTGCGAGCAATGGTCCTGGTCAACGAGTCAATACATTAAGTTAACATGGCTGCCATTCAAGAACTTTTGTTTGAACAAAACTCCTTTTAACATAGGCACATACTTTCATAATTATATTATTAAATGTTTCAGCTTACTCTTAATTGTTTATAGAAACAAATTATAAAGATAATATGCATCAGGAGCGTCGAAAGAAATTGTGTCTAGCCTGTTGGCGGAAAACCAGGGCAACTTACTTTTCTTAGCATTAATCTAAGGTTCGTAACGAAAGTTGCTAAAAGTTTACAAACTTACAAACCCTCTGTGTTCAATTTACTCATCACTTTTATGAAAGCATATTCCAAATTGTCTTATAATCATCGACTAACAAAAACCTCCAACAATTTTTGGGTCCTCCTACAAAAAGGTCGAAAAGCTCTGTCTTACGTGTTTGAAACAAAGAAAGCTCAACGTTGAAACCTAACGTCACAGCTTTTTGTACTCACAACCTTGAAATGAAATCTTAAAGTTGGTATCACAAAGGACTTTGTTCTAGAGACTACAATGACGGCTATACTTCTTATGTTTAAAAAATATATGAAACAAAATAAAGAAAAGTATGTCAAGATTTTTTTGTAACTTGACGATAACATTTTTATTTAATTTCTCGTTATTTCTTTTGTGCAAATTTTAGCAGCAGCATACTGGTGTTCTACAGTGTTTATATTTTTTTTCAGGGTTTTCTTACTTCAAAACTGCATATTTTTGAACCTCTCCGTTCTAAATTTCGTGTTATTAATTTCGATATATAACATGTCCTCGTGAGCTTAAGCCAGTGCCTAGTGCATGTTAAAACTGTGCTTTTTTCTACTGCAACTATTATTTTTCCTGAAGTCTGTAGATAGGGTTTTAGTTTATTATTGTGTCTACTTTTACTATTCTACCGTACTACCTTCGACTAAGAACCTACTACCACCACCGATATAGAAAAAGTTAGTAAGAAGCAACTACATACAGAATCTTCTACAACGTTCACCTTCAGCCTCTTCTCCATAGTACCATCAGGTAATTGCACAACAAAGTATGAACCACCAATTGAACCTCGCTCCATTTGCAGTCTTTTTTCTTCCGCCATACGTTGGAGCAGAGGTTTTTCACCAGACGTCTGAAATATGAAATTTTGAATATGTTGTCATGGTGCAAAATGAGCAATGTGTGTGATGTGTAAGTTAATCCCAAGTATTACATACATATCGCAACAATGATACAATTTGTGAAAAATGCGTGAATTAGTTAAAACTGTATTAAGTATGTTATTGTTCCTAGACGCATTTACAAACACAAAATTGATCACCCAGAAAGCTTTTCCCGTTAGACAAATATATCAATATCCAATTTGAATACATTCAATCATTCAGGTAGTATACACAACATTACAAACATCACTAACCTTGGGGTAAACCAAAGGTCTCATGAGTGCACCAAAGACCGCGCAGTTGAGGATCAGACCGGCTAAAAGAAGGTTAGCATTTTGCCAGGATCCGAACTCATTGAGTAAAATAGCGGCAAGAGGTGCAAAACTGAAGGTTCCTACACCTGAACCACATACAGCGATACCCGTGGCTAGAGAACGCCGAGTTTCAAAGTAGTACCCCACGGCCACGACTGAAGGGAGGTAGATCATACCGAAACCGAGACCTGGAACAAAGAAAAATGAAAAGTAATAATCTATGTACTTATAAACACAGACTAGACAAGGGTTATTTTCATAATCTCATTAATACATAAGTACTGGTCTGTATACAATTATATTGGTGGTCGACATATTTAGTAAAAACAATATAATCGCTGTTGAACTTGTTATTTTTTTTTTTTTTTATCATAAATTTAGACTTGAAATGATATGAACGTGGACATCGCATGATAGTCTAAACTAGAAAGTTAATAATCAACTTCAGGATCTGAAAGCAAAAATCGGCAAAAGCAAACTTCGAGACACATAGTGTATAGGTACGGGATAATAAATATAAATAGTACAACTCTCTTTTATAAGCTTTTTTTATGAGTCAGACTAACAAAACTGCATATGTTTTGGCCAGTGTCGCTATTCAAAATCCACCTTCAAAGCAATATAGTATTAGGATTACTCGGGATTGTTACTTTTGGCGTAGTGCCAAATTATAAGGAACTTTGACCAATTTGCCTGATGAGACGTCACGTACAATTTGGTGTCGGATAAAAAAAAAAAGGAACATTCAGCCCGCGTATCTAAATTTCGCTGCTGGTTTCTTTTCCACTTTGGTGGTATATAGTATTTATACCTTTCAGTACAAAGTATATAATATTAATTAATATAGGCATACTTCTTGTGTTAAGCAGAGCAAACTCTGCAGAATAACAACACTGCAAAGAGAAAAAAACACTTGAAACAAACCCTATACCAACACGTCTGGCCAGCGTGGTATAGTAGGGTAAACCCTACTTTCTAAGGAGAGGCCTATGTCCAGCAGTGGACTATTAAGGGCTGTTGATGATGATGATAACGTGATAACTCTATAGTGTGATAATATGTCTAGTAGGTATGCTGTAATACGCACGTAAGTTTTAATTTATAAAATTATTTTTAGATAAGTACAAAGTATTTACCGAGTAAGTAAAATTATAATATTGTAGCTGTTCAGTCATTCGAACGATCTATATCATTAAATCTCGAAGGAGCTGTTAACCCTCTGACTTCATTTTCGTCTACGACCTTGGATTACATGGCACTTAGCAACACATTAATATTGTAGCTAGGAGACGTAAATCCTATGAAATAAAGCGGTCTGCTTTTATGTAAATTTGTGTAGTAACACTTTATTATTGATCATAATCAGTTTATAGTTCAAATGGGAATATGATATGACATTAGTCACGGTATAGTGTCGGCGAACCGATTCATATTTGAAATCACACAAAGGAACTTATGGGTTGTTTTCTGCTACCATGAGGTCGTTAGCACTCATTTACTGCATGCGTCATTTTTCCGGTAAAGTATTACACTTTTCACATTAAATAATTAATCATTAATTTACACACTATGTGGGCAACTTGAATAGGTAATGAGTCGACGTTTACTGAAACAAAATAACTGAGACCTAGATTTGATTCGAATAGTTTTAAGTAAAAAAAATGTGTAAAAGTATGTCATTAGAAATGTAGGTTAAAAGATGTAATAATATATATAAGCGATAATTGTATAATCCTGCCGTGTGTGTACGCCAGCCAAGTAAATTTGTGTGTAAATTTTGCATTAACTTTATAACGAAATGTTAAAAAAACAAACACGGTGATATTAAGGTAAGACGGTAGTCAGCACCACAATTTTTTTATGTGATCATTGATTCACTTCTATCCTTAGTGTTAACTCGTTAATAAAGGAAAATCTCGTTTTCTGATAAATGTGGCGCCACGAGGAAAATACCGATTTGGTAAACAACGCAAGTTGAATGGTTGTTAGTCGGAGAAACATTTAGGTTGACCTTTCCGGATTTTTGAAATTGCCGAGTCACTCATAAAAATGCGTACACAGATATCATCTCAACCAGAGTTGTCTATTTTTATTTGAAAATCCAAACAAATCTAATTTCAATATTTGACGAAAGAATGTATAAATTGAGTTTCAGTAATGATATATTATAATTTTCTAAATAAATATTTCTGATCATTCCAAAAATCACTGGTGTTAACCATATGTATCGTATTAAATTTCCTACAAACGATGTATCTTCTACACAATCAGTCTGTTAAACAAGGTCGTTAACAATAGCCTAGCGTGTATTGAATTTTTTTCATGTCAATTACTGCTCAGTGTATAATTACAACGATATGTTTATAATGTAACAGACAAATAGGTTCTAGTGAACGCATGTATTACACGAACGTCTTGCAAACGTTTATTTTAGAATTTGTGAATAACGGCTAAACGTAATGTTGTGTATATTTTAAATAACATTTCAGATTCGGCACAAACTAGTATTTCCGAACAGTCCCGACATTGAAACTTGATGATCTCAACAGTTAGTTGCCAACAGGGATCACGATAATATTGGTGCTAATCACACTCGCTAATAAATTATTACAGCGTTAATATTCAAAAAATATAAAATAGCTGACAACTACCTCTAAATTTCCTTATCCATAGGAACAAATCAGAATATGATGAGTTTAAATTTATAACATTAATTTATAAAGTAGATATCAATAAATATGTTAATGGTAGTCAGATTATGTATACGTGGTTCAAACGTATTTTCTGTATTTTTCTCTTGAAGAACCTTGAATGTCTGCCATGCGATACCAGAATTAGATCAAACTAGAAAATTTGCATAATATTATTGATTTCAATGGTCAACATTACAGAATTACTAAATACTTAAGTTTTTTAAGGTTTATGGGAGTTAGCACGTACTTATTTTTGGATTATTATAATAAAGTTGTGTTCAAATAAAGACATACCAATCTAACTTAGTAAGGCGCCTCGTAGTCTGTAATAGCTGGCAACTAGCCAACCGGCCCATGTTCTATTGAACTTGAAACAAGTTCTTGAACAAGAAGATGACCTGCCTAGGACTTAAAAATAGTCCTTTATGTAATCTAATGTTATAAGTAGTAAATAACGTTTAAACTGTCATGCGTTAACGTTTCAAATAAAAGGTTTTGCTGTACGATTTGTAAAGACCTATTTCTTAGCGTTCCATGGATTCACCGTGCGGGTGCCGGGTCCATCGTGTGATAGATGGGGGCAACACATGCGACTTCGACAGCGCCCGGGACTTGCGACCCAGGTATAGGTTTAGGTAGTACTCCTTGCGACGCGTCAGCGCTCACCTCCACTCCGCTGTGTAACCCCGTCTACCTAACCATATTTGATACGAGCCTAACAATGCCTCTGGAAAATTCTCTGGCAATAAAACCGTATAAAAGGCAACCTTATTTTAATATATGATAGCCATTGAAGGTGAAGCTATCTTTGCCAAAGTACGTTTATCGGTAGTACAAAATGTTCTCAGAGGACCGAGAAGAAATGAACGTCGAAGAGCGTGCCGGACGCCCGAGCACGTCAATAATAAAAAAAAAATAAAAAAAAAAAGCCTTTTATTTCTTACAGAAAATGCTAATTTACAAGTTTATTAGTTTTGTTAGTATCAAGAAAAAATTTTTTTGTAGTAGTAGTAGAGCACGTCAATAACAGACGAAAACATTGATAAAGTAAAGAAAAATAGTTTTGGCCTATCGTCGAATCACCGGTAGAGAAGTTGCTGAGGACTTAAACATATCGATTGGCTTGTGCCATTCGATTATAACCAATGATTTCGGCATGAGTCGGGTCGTCGTGAATTTCTGCGTGCTCATTGTCGACCAAAAACAGCATCGCGTTAACATTACTCAGATGTTGTCGGTCCGCGAACACCCAAATGTGCTCCAGAGGGTCATAACTGGTGACGGATCATGGGTTTATGGTTATGACGTGGAAATCAAAGCTCAATCATCTTATAGTACGAGATCCCGCTGCAGGATTGGTGCGTTCATCGATTTTTTGTTTAAAACCAAATTTTTGTTTATTTATAATTAGGAGAATATACGAGGGTGCGTTTTTAAGTTCGCGGAATGAGAGGGTTGGAGGGGGGTGATGAGGCTCATTAGAATCGTCACGTGTTCAGTGACTCAAAATTAGTATAAATACCAGGTTTCATTGTTATTAGACGATTAGTCTTTGAGTTATCGTCAACCAAGCAACATAATCGGGAGTGAAAAGTAAAACATGGAAAAAATCGAATATCGTGCCGTTATAAAGTTCCTTACCAAGCAAGGAAAATCAGTTGCGACCATAATGAATGAGATGTCATTGGTTTACGGCGAACCTTGTCCAGGGAAAACCATGGTGTACAAATGGCACAGTTTATTTAAACAAGGAAGGGAATCCCTTGAAGACGACCCGAGGCCGGGCAGGAGCATCGAGGTGATCACGCCAGAACTTATCCAAAAAGTCGAAAAAATTGTACTCGACGATGCTCGACTAAAGAAGAAACAACTCGCAGAAATGGTTGGAGTATCTGATACAACCATTTTTAGAATTCTGAACGATCATTTTGGCATGACAAAGGTCTGTGCAAGATGGGTGCCTAGAATGCTCACGCCGACGCAAAAACAACAGCACGTAGAGTGTTCACGTGCATTTTTAGACTTTTGTAATGAAGACAAGGATGCTGTATTGAGTAGAATTGTTACTGGAGACGAAACTTGGGTTCATCATTATGAACCTGAGTTGAAACAAGACTCCATGCAGTGGCATAAAAAGGGCACAGCACCTCCCAAGAAGTTTAAGGTGTCACAGTCAGCTGGGAAACTCATGGCAACGGTCTTTTGGGACTCAGAAGGAATATTATTATAAAGATAAAGGTGTTTCTATAACCGGAGAATACTACGCTTCAATATTAAAGCGACTCAAAGAAGCCATTAAAGAGAAAAGACGGGGCAAATTAACAAAAGGTGTGTTGCTTTTGCACGACAACGCGCCCGTCCACAAGAGCCGCGTTGCGTTGGCGGCCCTGCATAAGGTGGGCTTCGATATTTTGAATCACCCACCCTACAGCCCAGACCTGGCCCCCAGCGATTATTACCTGTTTCCAAAACTGAAAAAAGAGCTGCGGGGTAAA